GGGGGGGGGGGGTTCTTACGTGACTGGAGGTGACCTTTTGTTTTTGCGTTTTTTTTGTTGTTCCCTAGATAACTCGGGAATCCTTAAGTGGTTGTCTATGATTTTCGGTGGGCAAGACGCCGTCGAGGATACGAAGGTCAAGTTCGGATATGGGCCTCGTGGGGGGTTCTTCCGTGACTGGAGGTGACCTTTTGTTTTTGCGTTTTTTGTTGTTCCCTAGATAACTCGGGAAACCTTAAGTGGTTGTCTATGATTTTCGGTGGGCAAGTCGCCGTCGAAGATACGGAGGTCAAGTTCCGATATGGGCCTCGTGGGGGTTCCCATGTCATTGAATTTGACCTTTTGTGTTGGTCGTTATTGTTGTTAGCGAGATAAGTCTTGAATCTGCAAATGGATGTTCACGATTTTTGCTGAGCAAGTTACCGTTGACGATAGGAAGATCAAGTTCAGAAAAGGGCGTCGTGGGAGGTCCGTACGTTACTGCAGTAACACTGGTCACTTTAAATTTGGAAAAGACACCAGCAACCCCAAGTATGAAATTCCAGGCAGTCAGCATTATGGAATTATTACATTTTCTCATTAATTATGCAAATTAAGTGTTAATTTACATAATCAATATTTGCCTGTGTTTCTCTCGTTCTCAATTACATGTCACAAGCTTGAATAGTCCTACAATGTAATGCAGCTGATTTATAGAATTTCTCCATTAATTATGCAAATTACATCCAGATTTGCATAATTGCCGCATAATTATACCGACCATCACGTAAGCTACCTACATACCAAAAATCATGACAATCCGTCCACCGGTTCTTGAGTTATCCTCTTTTGAATATTTTCAAACAGATAGCCCTGCAATTCCTGAGCAAGCCGCTAGGGGGCCCAAGCTCACGCCACTTCTTCCCCAGCAAAAGACCTACCTACCATCCAGATTTCGATACCCCAGCATGTGTAGATCATGAGATATCAATACCGGAAGTTCAGCTGCAGTACCACAACAAGCCGCTAGGGGGTCCAAAGTCTAATCATTTCCAGGTCTCATCAGGACCTACCCACCTACCAAATATCAAGATAATCCACCTAAGCTTTCTCAAGTTATGCTGATGACAGACTACAGGCTATCAAAAACTCATCTGTTTTGCCTGTAAATCCTCAAATACACAAAAGGGAGATCAAACCCCCAAGCCATCGCTAATACACGCAGCTAATAGCAGGTAACAAGATCACAAGTTTTTAAAGGCCAATAACAGGTCAAACCATGAAAAATGTCAGACTTTTTGGCCATATTTTAAAAATTTACATTCTTCTGTCCTTCTTACCAGAAAACTGGGCCTTTCTGAGGAAAA